TAACATTACTACCTGTGTCCAAGATAAAAATCACTCTTAGCTAATATTAATAGAAGACTAAGAAATGCAATAAAGCATGCACACATATAATCATTAAGTAATGAGCAGCTGTTTAATTTTTATAGTAATCCACACCAGAAGCATTAAGTCTACCAGAAATAAAAATTTTAATTTTTAGCACTGCCAATGTTGAAACAAAATTTTCTTGTATGCGATGAAAGCATTTTGAGAAAAATATGTCACATATATTTATATACTTTCAATTTAGAATATTATGGTCAACAAAAAAAGGTTAAAGGTTAGGGTGGTAATTAGAAAACAAGACTGGCGCCTCAAAATTCAATCTCACTAACAAGTATCATTCACTTCTATGGACATTTCTTACGCGGTAACCATTTTTTTCCAATGGTAATTTAACAAAATCACCATTCAATCATTAGAATGTTACAGAGAAAGTTGTGTCATGCTGCTCAACCATTTGAGCTCTCTTTGATAAGATTTTTTGGTCTGAAGAAATAAAGGATTTTTCCAGCAGACATAAAACCAAGGATTTGTTTAAACAAATATTATTATTTTATTATATAAAACATACATTCATAACAAAATTTGATCAAACATGGTTGTGTCTGACAGATGAACACTTGATTGTGTTAGACTGGATTCTAGTCCTTAAACTTTGTCTTAAATAAAAATCAAATAATGTTGGCACCAATGGCGTTCCATATTACTTCTTTGCACCAATGGTGTACCATACTCCACTTTTTCTGGTTTTAAATTCCACGAACCAAAGTCAAGAAAATAAAAATGCTGGTGGCGCTCTCCGGAAGTTTCAAACACTAAAAAAAATCTGACTGACTGTGTATGCCTAGGATTCTACAGTTATAAGGGTGAATTTTGAAAATAGGGACAATGAAGAAATTAATAATGTTGATGTCAAAAGTTGAGATATGTGAAATTCTTATTATTCTTTATTTAATTCATTATTTATAAACTGATGTATATACAGTAATGTAAAGATTCTAATTGACTTTTAATTATTGTATTTTCCAAGGTTATTTTCTACTGACTAGTTTTTTTTCCCCACAGTCATGACTAAAAACAAAATGAGAATTACAACATAGTGATTAGCATATCTCTGATAGATGATTCTATTATTTGTAAGTGGTGTTTTATTTGAAGAAAAAATGGCAATATTGGGTTTTTCAGGTAAGAAATAGGCAATTAATATAGCTAATTTGTATCTGTTTTTGCTCATAATTGTTATATATATATAATTTTTTAAAATTTAAGGCACCAGTAAATAGAGTTTGAAGAATATATTAGAGTTTTAGTTAATTTAAAAAAAAAATGCTCTTCAACAACACTACTGACCATGAATGAATTTTACAATTTACTTGTAATCCCTAGAAAGATATGGAGAAACAAACATCACAATACCAACTTAGAATGTCACAACACATAAACATAACCAGGTTTTCATAGTCATATCACAATATTTTGTGTTGTAAGGAAAGAACTAAACTTAATAACATGAATCTGGGAAGCAAAAATGTAGACAAATATTATACCGCATTGCATTTTAAGACATAATAGATATTCTACCTCAAATGAAGCTTGTGAAAATTTACACTTTTTAACAAACAGCTATGTTTAATTGGAATCTTCTAATAAGAGCCAGTCCTGGGCTTCTTTTTATTTTTAAAACTCTTGGATGGGCTTCTTTTTGAGATTACTTTTGCAAACCAAAGAGGGGAGATTCTTTTCAAAATGAATGCTGTAAATATTTGGATTGTTACTGTACGACATATTCCAACTATGGATTTTGAAATTATGTGTAAATATATTTTAAAATTTTATCCATGATAGTACAATAAAATAATATTGATACAGACACGCTATCACAATCATCGTAGACAAACATCAGTCTTTTTAAGTACTGTACTATCTCAAAAAGAAGCCAATGCTATCTTGAATAAAAGCCCATGGGCTTCTTTTTAAGATTATATTTGCAAACTAAAGAGAAGGGGCTTCTTTTCGAGATTGGGCTTTTCCTCAAGGTTAAACAGATTGGGATTCTATTTGAAGTTTTACAGTATGACTATAATGGGGTTCACTGATTAGTTTGACAAAAACATGAAACAATCAAAAGAAGTGATGCAAATTTCCATCATTCATAGTTAACAATCTTATAACAAATTAATTTTGAAATTATGAATAACATTAATTTACATCCCTTGACAAAATGATAAATTATAAGTATTGAATACTAACAAAAACATGTCAATAGTATTTACAAACTGATTTTAATTATCTTTTAAATTAATTTAATTTTAAATTAAATTCAATATTAAATTAAACACGGCAAGCACTTCTACATCTATGAAAACTCAATATATGAAAAAAAAATGAAGGTGAGAGATGACAATGTTAGGGGAAAACAAAAAAAGTTGACCTACGAGCTCAAACCTCCTCCGTATGATGATCTACGAGAAATACAAGATAATTCCATTGTTTAACATCATGTAATTGAATTAAGGTTTTATTATAAATTACATTGACAAAATGGATAAATATTACTTACGTTATTATAGTTCACTGGTTAGGCATTCATATTTAAATTATAAATTTTGATATTGAGTAGTGTATAATCATGGGTATTGTGCAATTATCTAATGAAACAACACACACCAAATATCAAAACATTATTTAAATTATGGTAACTTTAAGTCACTTCTATAAAAAAAAAATACAAATAAAAAATTTGTAATTATATCCATTAAAAAGCTCAGAAATGTTACTATCAACATTTATTGAAGAACAGTGGTAATTTAAAAAGCATTATAATATAATGTTTGGTATGTATAATTTACACAATCAATAGATTGTTCTAAAAGCAATTTGAAATGTACAAACATGCAAAACCAGTAATTAAAAATGGAGAACAAAATGTTGTTGAAAATGAACTGTAGACAAGGATCTTGAACTGTTATTAAATCCCACGGGATGTGACCGACAGGTACAAATTTATTTAATGTTAAACCAACATATGTGGCAAAGACAAGCCAAACCAGTCACGCCTAGCAAACCCTGTTTTGGAGATAATGGCCAAAATATGCTGGAATGTCAAAATTTTGGAAATCTGTTTTTTCGCACTAAACTATTATTATATATCTATACATCATGTATGCTGTTACTTCCCCATTTTCAATGTTAAAACAACAACTTTTAACAATTTGGTGATGGTTTCTGCCTAAGAAATGCCCAAAATCGTAAACTTTGAAGGCTGACTCTTCTCAAATAATGTTCTTTAAACAGCTGTATGTTTAAACTCCTGTAACTTCATAACAAAATGTTGGATTTAAATGATTCTTTTACCATTTTATACCTCTCATTTTACTGTTTAACCCTGTATTAATAACTATCGAGTGACTGGTTTGGCTTGTCTTGCCACATATAATGGTATGAAAAATCTGAAAATGGGTACAAATTTTAAAGGTACTTAATAATAATAAATATACTGTAGTTTAATAAATAGACAAATTGACATGACAAACAAAAATATATAAATTTTTTTGTAAAACAAAGTAAAAAAAAAAATTAATTTAAAGCCCACACTCATTAAAGCATAAATGGAAGTGAAACATTTTATTCACAAAAGCATTCACATAACGTAAAGAATTACCTGCCATGTATTTTACATCATAAAATGACACAAAATAAGTAAATATATATTATACCGTAACAAAAATACACCAGGTTTCATAAACTTGGAATTTTCCCATTAAATAATGATATATTTTTTTAATGAAGTTATACATTAAGAAGTTATACATAAAGGAAATCAATGAAATTTGAAGAAAAGAAAATAAAGAATCAAAGAAGTGTAATTTACATTTAGACAAAGCACATGAGAACAGTAGGGACAGTGAGACGACAACCTCACAGTGGTTTCTCTGACTGGAGACGATTATGATGATGATGATAATAATGACGATGATGATGATGATGGTTATATTCAGATGACAGTGCTGCTGATATTATGAGGGAGGTGACAGTTAAAGTGATGATAAATGATGATTATATCTTTGATTATGTGATAATCATCACTATTGTTCACATATTTATTTACTTTTCAATGATGATAGTTTAAGGTAAAATACAGATATTGAAAAACTATGAATATGAAATGTTGTTAATTATAACTGTACCTAGCATTCTACCACATCATAATGAGCATAATAGAGGCATTAATGTGCATATTCTATGCTTTGACTAATTATGATTATGTATTACTGATTAATGAAATGAAAGTGCATAGGCCTTAGGCTGAGAGTCATATTGCCACATTTATACAATTTTAATAAAACTCAAAGTCTTCTTTATAACATTGGACAAACCATCTAACGGAATAAACCATCCATTATCACACCCCATGGAAAAATTAATGTGAACATTTTTTAATAATAGTGATTAGACATGCATAAAGCAGATACTCACTATTGTTGTATCTAATCATCTCGGGTAAAATTCTAACCTAAACAATCTTCTGATAGAACATTAGCATTCTACAGGGGTCCTAAGTCTCCCAAGAGTCGTTGGCGTCTCCGGAAATTGCAAAAGCCTCGCCTCCTGCACTCCCAAGTAGTGGTGGCGCCAGCGAGTGGGCGGGGGCATTTTGACCCCTTGTCATTCGACACCACGACCAGATCGTCGGATGAAAAATAAAAATGACAACAATAATTTGTCTATCCAAATAACGTTATTTTGATGTTAATCCCTAATATTGTGGTCTAAAAGCACAATTTAAACCATACTAAGCCATAAAAACTCTCACCATGAACCGAGAACCCTACCAGAGATTTTTTATTCTGGGCCGTCGACCGAGGCTCTAGTCGGCCGTGGGTTTGGACCCCTTGTCAGCAAGTTTCTAGCACCACCGCTGCTCCCAAGAGCAAGAAAGAAATCTACCAAAATCTAACCCATCTCTTGCAAATTCATGATACTTTTTTTTACTAATATATTATCGATTTGTCTCCTTTAAGTCATGCTCATCAAATTGGTGGCTCCTTCCAACTTGGGACCGCTGCTTCACTTCTGTGCATTAACTATGGTGCCTCTACAATCCATTGGATGAATGTGTGTATCGTTACATGACATTATAACAGTTTTGAGTGAGTGTGAACAGATGTGCACATGACGTGTAACAATGACAAATCTCCATGCTAATACTACTCAAGTACATCTGTCACTAAGTCCAACACTTAGCAATTCACCACAGATAGAAATCTGGCTTCAATGTATTATATGAGTATTTAATAAAATGAAATAAAAGGTGAATAGATGGTATGATTGTATGCATATTTTGAAGCATTATAAATTTTACGCTTCTAAATACATCAAATGGACACTTCGAAAGTGAAGAAATAGTATGAAGAATATAAAAGGATATGAAGAAATATTTAAAAAATGAAGAAGTAGAGATATGATTACCAAGGTATAAATGATCCATAGACGGGAGCTTTATCCACCCCCTGTCAATCAAAAATATAGCTACTCAAGCTCTATTGACAATATCAATTTATATATGACAAATTCATGTGCAATGTCCATATTTGGGCATGGTGATGTCATATCATATCCATATATGGCATGATGATGTCATATCATATCCACATATGGACACAATGATTTCATATGATATCCATATATGGGCATGATGTCATATCATATCCATATATGGGCACAATGTCATATCATGTCCATATATGGACATGATGACATCATATCATGTCCATATATGGCATGATCATGTCATATAATACTCATATACTGTATGGGCAAATTACAGGTATTTGTAACATACAATTTGATGGTGACAGAATTTCAGATTTTAACAAAGACATGCATTTAACCATAATAATAACAATAAATTATTAATTTTTATTGGTAATAGGCCTAATAATAATGATAAACAAATTAATGTTCAGTAAAATGTCTAGTGACATAAAGACAAATTGTTAAACAAACTCTTTAACTACATACATTGTTGCTTTGTAACTTGATCTGTAATAAAATTTGTGTGGCTACCATGGTAGGATTAGAACCCATACTTTTAAAGGTAGAAGCAATCCCTTTACCATCATACCACTGCTACTCTACTGGCAATATGACTCAACAAAAATGTTATATGCATTACTTTTTTTATTCATTTTCTATGATGTTATGTTTTGGTTTTTATGTTAGGTTTCATATTCTGATGTTAACATGGTTTGTGTTTGTATACTTTGCCAAAATTAATAAATTAATTTAAACTACAAATAATAATACTGTTCCTGCTACTTTGTGTATTTTTAACTTATTTCATTCACATCCACAAGAAGGTACATCCATCACTTAGAGGATGGAATGATGCTTCATAAACTAAATTTCAAAGAGACTTAGTAGAAATGTTTTAGCTGTGGGAAAAAATCTTGGCATCTCACTGGGATTGAAAGTTAAGCACCACAAAGCTCCACTGTATGTATGAAAGTTAATTTTTGAGAATAGAATTAAAAATCTTAAAAAAATATATTTTTTTTAAAGCAATAAATATTCAAAAGAATATAAATTTACAAGGTACCTGAATGAAAACTTTAGATATCAACTGGCATGCTAAAATGGTACGGTATACATTTTATATATACATCTTCTTAATAAAAAAAAAAATATGTATATTGACAATAATAATAGTAAAAATCACATATTTACATAGTGCTCCACATACATACTCAGAGTGTTTTAGATGCATTTGCTAAAACTGTGACAGCAAAATATCTTCAATATGGTAAAGCCTACACCAGAGCACTAAGCATACAAGCTTTAGAGTCAGACTGTGCTATGCTGTAGGGGATTGACACAATCCTGTCTATTTCCATTCCCAATACAGTGGTGGATTCAAAGGTTCAGGGATGGGGGAGTTCCAGCTGGGCCAGGTCCCCTCCCCCCCTAAATTTTTTTCTAAATTTGTCTGAGGGTGCCATTTCCGGCCATCAAGATGTGCACAAAATCATAAATTCCTGGATCCTCCACTGGAGAATATGTTATTATATCGGTACACATTGGTAACCCATGGTGGAAAGAAATATAGATCCACATCTTGCCCAAGGACACAACCAAATATAACTGTGAGGGTGTTTAACCTGTGACCCCCAAATTTGAAAATCTGAGTCACAACCACTGACCCAAACTGCTCCTAAAATATTATACCCCAATAAGGACAGATAATCCATTAAGATTAAATACTTAATTATCACCAGGATTGACTGATTTCTGGGGATGATGAACTTGAAGATCGAAATACTTAATCACAGTGACTTGACTTGTCTGTCCATATCTGGGGTCATGTTGTATACATAGGTATCTTCAACTCAATGTACCTACTGGTATCATATGATTATTGTTGAAATACTTTCAATTAGTAAACCAATGCAACTAAATTTCAAAGTTTTCAAAGTAATCTTTAAAAACTGATTTACATAAAAAATCAAAATGAAATTTACTTACTGTGTCATTTCCATTCTGTAATAAAGAAAAGTTGAAACATTGTTAGACTAAAGTTACTGCATTAATATGCAACTTAGTAATTAACCAAGAATTTGTTCTATAAATACATCAAGTTGATTTGAAAAATACAACATTAACATGCTGTCATGGGAAATGTAGTGCCGAGGATTTATAACTACTTTAGCACTGATAAAATTAATTACTGAATTAAAGAATTGCTCTCATCTATATGTTCCTGTATGGTACATCTTATCAGCTTATCCCCTCATGTATTTACACTGAATTTACCAAGGCTAGCTAATTCTTAAAAAATTATTTTACCCTTCAAAAAGTAATAGGTAAAATTTTAAAAATACTTGATTCTCATTAGTTCTCGCATTTTTTTTTTTTTGCAGGCCGTCTCTTACAAAAAGCACAGTGGAATAAAAGATGTAAACATACCCCGGATACGTATCATCACAGTATTTCATCTTTCTGAAATACTTGGCAAGTTTGACGGAGAAGATGAGACCAAATATCATGAAGAACAAACACCATCCAATACAAAACCAAAGCGAATTCTGTAATGAAGCAATGAAACAGGGAAAATGTTTGTAAAAAGTAAAGATAAAATTAATAGAAAAAAAGAGAAAAGAAACAAAATGAAAAGGAAAAAAAAATAAAAAGAAAAGAAACAAAAATATGAGGATATAAAAAAGATAAAAAAACATAAGTTAAAAATAAAGGGGAAAAAAAAAGATGAAAAGAAAGAGTAAGTAAAGAAAACATTACATAAAAGGAAGGGAAAAAATATATGATGATGAGATAAGAAGCAAAAAGATTTGATGCAAAATGTCATATCTATACAAGCCAATTTGAAGACTTACCTGTTATAAGCAACCAACACAAATAAGGCTTTGGAAGTCTCGTTTTATGATCAACATTTTAAAGTATCATATTTTGCTTGAACATGTGTTTATTGTGAACAATGGACATTCCTGAATTTTCAATCAAACTTATCGACTGGCCAATCAGAACAGTAAGTGCTTGCTTGACAACCACAAATGTGTGTCACTCATGTGGGTCCTTAGCAACAATATTCAAAAGGGCAGGGCTTAGCGGATAGTCCCATTAAACTTACTCAGCAGAGGTGATTCGCTATCAAGACTCCTTAAGAGAGGCTCAGTGAGTAAAGACTTTTTCTTAGGAAATTAGGAATCTTAAACACCAATCCAGTATCAGGCTTAGCTGAAAGGCCCATTAAACTTACTCAGCAGAGTTGATTCAAATTCAAGACTCCTTAAGAGAGGCTCAGTGAGTAAAGACTTTTTCTTAGGAATTTAGGAATCTTAAACACTAATCCAGTATCAGGCTTAGCAGAAAGACCCATTAAACTTACTCAGCAGAGGTGATTCACCATCAAGACTCCTTAAGAGAGGCTCAGTGAGTAAAGACTTTTTTTTAGAACTTATGAATCTTACAACACCAATCCAGTATCATGTTTAGTGGAAAGACCTATTAAACTTACTCAGCAGAGGTGATTCACCATCAAGCCTCCTTAAAAGAAGCTCAGTGAATAAAGACTTTTTCTTAGGAATTTAAGAATCTTAAACACCAAATCAGAATCAAGTTCACCTCACTGTGCAGTAGTCTATACTTACCCATGATTGCAGCAATGACACACAGATAAGATCCAAGGAATTATTCCAAAAGTTGTATACTGGTAAACAACGTCCAATTTCATTTTGTACCTAAAAAATAAATATAAATTGTTTAATTACAACTCCATTTATTATAGTAACAATTAATTTTCTAACACTACAGACAATAATAGTCACAGATCAGAAACACAATGAACAGAGACACAAACATTAGCCTCCCCAGAGACATATCTTTTTAATTTGCTGTTAATTATTATAGGAAGTGGTTTGGAAAAACGGGTGGGGCTCTTAACTTCAAAGTTGGGGTTTGAATCTTTCAATGTACATCTCACAATGCACATTTTCACTACCAATGCTTGTTTCACTCTGCTGGGAAGACTCATTAGCCTTCCCAGCGGGAGTAGCAACCACCACACACTCCCCTCCCCTCTCCAACCTCCCACAGACAGGGGTTGGCATCTGAGGAATGCTAAAACAGAGATACTGTAGGAGCTGTGAGCTTAGAATTCTGGTTTCTACTTTATGTTTACCTAATTATTTTAGGACATAAGCTAACTTACCTGTTTATTAACATAGTTAACATATTGTTCAACATAACGAAGGATACGGTCACTGAAAGATGTTACTTGCTGTAAACAAAAAGGCAAAATAATAAAAAAATTTATATATAATGTGGTATTCTGGTATATTTTCAGTTTATTTTTACCTAGTTTTTTGTTTTGTTTCTAATATTTCACATTCTGGCTTTGTGTAATCTGTATTGTTCTGTATTACCTAATTAATTCCAGTTCAATTTAATTTAATACTAATAAACAATACTGTGATTTGCCAACTTTGAAACCTAACATTGAAGATTGTAGTAACTGAAATATTACGAAGAAAAAAATAACAGGGGACTAATTGGCTAATTTAATTAACTAATTGATTGATTGAATGATTGATTACTTGAGCAATTTAAAGTGACATTGGGGCTCATACAGGAACACCAGTGACAAATAGAGACAGTTGGCATCAATGGGAATTGATGATGAAAAAAGAAAATTTCATGAAACTTACATTAGTAACATATGAATTTATGTTGTCATCAATGTTTTTCTGTGCTTCCTCACTCTTTTTAAGAGTGTCATTGACCTTTGACTATTGAAGGAAAGTACAAATAATATTAATCATAATGAGGATGGTAATCATGTAACATAATGTGCATTTGGCAAAGGGGGAAGGAGGGTGAAAAAATGTTCTGGAGGCATGTAACCAATTCCCATTCCCCTTCGGTAGTGGAACCACAGGCTTATTCTGGTGGAAAGTGCCGGAGCCCAGCATGCTGCCTTTTGTGGATTACCTGTATGTAAACTGCCTAATTTACTCTAGAATAAACGCTGCTCTCAAATAAGCGCTGCACTGAAACCTCCAAAAATTTTGAAAGCGCAGCGCCACTTATTCGAGCATTTACGGTACTGTACTAAACAATTAATCATACGCCAATGAAATTAGTAGGATAGAAAATAATCATATTTGTTTACCTCAATCTGGCTAGTTTTACCTTCTAAGCCACTCAATGCAGTCTTAAGTTCATTCTGCAATATTCAAAACATGCAAACATATTTCAACATGAAAAATAGTTTTCAATTTATTATTTATTTATTCTTTCTTTTTACTGTAGGCACTTTCAGAACTATTGCACTGATTTTCAGAGTATAGTTTAAGCATAACACAAATATATACAATACATACAATATATTGAATTGATTAACAATTTTCAGTGAGTAGGTTGATCTTTATATACTCTACATGTAGTAGTGGAATAGAACTGACAGATTGTGCAAACTTCTTTAACTAAATGATTCATTATGTTATGTTACTCTTGCCGGTGATATAGTCATATCTCCATATTTAACATGTTTGTTAGTCCATTCAAGCTTAGATGTTGTGGGAAAACATTTGTTTATGATGTATCATCAATATCAATATAAGCACCATCATAATTTTCACCACCACAATCCATCATCATCATTATCATCATCTTTATCACCATTATCATGACCACCTTACCATCATAATTGCCATCATCACAATTATAATCATTATCACCATCATCGTTATTATCACCGTCATTCTCATTATCACCATCATTACTATTATCATCATCATATTCATCACCATTATCATCACTATCATTAGCTTCATCACCATCACCATCCTTAGCTTCATCGCCACAATTATCATTGCTGCTGCCACCGCTGTCATCATCATCATCACCTCCATAATAGTTGAGTAGTTATTTCCTAACTGTAATCATCATTTTGATTATTACTATCATTATCTTTCCCAATATAGCAATATATTACTAAAATTATTGTTATCATTATCATAATTATTCAAATGTTCCAATAAATTCACCAAAAATCATAATTATTTCACCTTCTTTGCAATCATTGGGTCAATGTAATTGGTTTGCAGGTCAGTCAGATAAGTTGCCATTGTATTCAAAGCAGCAGCATTACTCTAAATCAGCAAAGAAAATCATTAATTCTTTTTATGATTTTAATAAACTAAAAAAATAATATAGTATTTTATCTAATGATAGAAGGTATTTATAAAAGAAATATGAATAAACAAGATAGGAATAAGGAAAACTGGAAAATATTATTGAAGGAGGAAAAAGAAACAAGCATTCATATACTGTAATATAAAAGAATGACAAAGTTACCTTAATTTAAAAAGTTATACCAACCAATATTTGTACTGGAAGTACAATATTTGTACTGGAAGTACAAATCAAATCATATGTACAGGTACATATTTATACAGTATATCATAGTGATTATCATTATCAATGTAATTATTATAAATATCTTACCCCAGTAAAGCTATGTGTGGAAATGTACGTAGTTATAGCGCCAGCAGAGACAGAAAGGTCATTAGCATTGTTACTATCATTAGTGATATCCTTGTCCAACTTTGTATATGAAAAGAAAAATTTTAACAAATATTTATTGAGTGCTATCAAACATTATACACACATGGTAATGGTAAGGGATTTGTATAACACATAATTATGGTCTCTATGTCTGATGTTATGCGAAACAAAAAACAAAAACCAAGAAACTCAGAAGTACGATAAAGGTCTACGGCGATCGATCCAGCAAAGCTGGAAAAATTAATCATTTGGAAACTTGACAGGCAGTCTGACCATCCGCTGTCTAAATGCAGGACACACAAGAATATTCAATCCAGCCACACTAAAAATTCTAGTGGTGTAGATATTTACTGTAATATTAGCTCAACAGTTATAATTTCACCAGTTGCATTGAGTGAATGATGGTTAACCAAACACAAAATTTCTAGGTCATGGATGTATAGTTATGGTGGGCGAAGGTGGGTAGGGCCACCTAGCCTTCAAGTATTCCAACCAGTCTAAAGCTAATTTCATGGCCCTCCACCCACCCTTATTAACCCACATTTCCCAGATTTACAATACAGCAAGTTTTATGGATTTCGTAACAGTCAGCATTCCTCTAGTGATGAATGTTCACTGTGTAAACACAAATCCCTCTACTTGTCTGTTTTAGCATTTTACGTTAAAATGAAAGGCTAATTTGGTCTACTGAAGTAATACAATGTATTTGAATTGTCTGTACATTGTAGTTATTTTACTTTATGTATTTACTACATTTAGGAATCTATTCATGTTTGGAGAAACCAATTTTTATATAATTTCATGCTAAATGTATTAGTCCAATAAGAAAGTATAATACATACTCCAAGTATTGAAATACACGCCATCGTGTTGGGATTCAATATTTCGACATTAATTATGTCATCATCAATACTTGGAGTATGTATTATACTTTCTTATCTGAGATTAATCAGTGGACCTTTCTGTATTAGTCCATGTCCATGACAATACTATCTTAACTTAACAATTATGTAATTAATATAATATTAATTAACAAATTCTGTTGAAACACAACTTTTGTACTTTTGTGTTACTCTTATTATGTACATTTATAAAGGCCCTGTCCAGAATACAAAATATTATTTCAGAAAAAAAATGTATGCCCATATGTAGTCATGATGTGCCTATATATGGTCATGATGTGATGTCATCATGACCATATTTAGGCATGTCACTTGTTTTTGTCAAATAAAATGTGATATTCTGGACAGGGCTTTATATTGCAAGGATGAAAAAATAATCACTCAAATATTACCTCATTACTGAAAAGCGTGAAGTTGATAGATATGACGCTTGAGTTGGCAAAATCTTCAAGTGTTTTCTTACCACTCGCTGGTAGAATATCAATGTTGCTAAAGTCACCAGTAATGTTCTCAAATTCACTGTCAATATCGGGAATGTACTGCAAGGAAACACAACATTCTCTCATTTCATTTCTTAAGTATCTTCCAATTTCCTATTCATTTGATTGAAAACTCAACTACAGGTCTCCCTCCAATTAAAGACCACTTTTGGGACCGGGGCTTTCATGGTCTTTAGCAGCTTTGGGCTCTAATTAGAATAATAAAGTTTTATACATTTGTTAATTCATGGCTACAGAAAACTGGTCTTTAATTGGAGGTGGTCTTCAATTAGAGGGAGACCATGTATACTCTAATGAATCTTCTATATATTGGATAAGAGGCTGCCTTTTAGGTTGTATGACATGTAGAATGAATAAATCATGCCATGTCAAAATTGTCTACCATCCCTTAGGCCCTGTCCAAATTATCACATTTCATTTAACAAAAAAATGTTACATGCCTAAATATGGGCATGATGACATCATATCATGTCCATATATGACATCACATCATGACTATATATGGGCATACAACAGTGTTTTGTTAAAGAAAATTTGATAATCTGGACATAGCTTTAGCGATTTTATTTTTTTTAATATAAAAGAATATAAGACCACAAACCTTTTTGTAATCAAGGTATTCAGATATGTTCACTAAATATTCAAAGTCAAAAGCTGTATAAACAGCTACATTTTTCTCACACGACCTATAAAATGATGAAGTGTGTACATATTAGTAATAGAAAAGTAAACGACCTGTGATATAAATGTTATGATTAGGTGTGATTGAACCTAAGAAACTGCCAAAATTAATGAAGAAATAAAATTGAAGTTACATACTCGAGAAGTCCAGTGACTGTCAAGGCAATAGAGCTGTTGTTGAGTAACTGATCTGCCAGGTAGTACCCTGCTACGCCAGGAATGGCTCCCTTTTTATCAACTGTCTGTTAAGAGAGGAGGGAAATTGAAACTGTAATAGCAGTAATTGAATACTAATGCCAAAATAATGGCATATAAATTATATCTAATTTTATTTGTTCCCATTTAAAAAATATATTTGTGCTGGGCTAAACAACTGGGAAAATAATATTCTCTATTTGTTTTATTTCTACATTAAAGTAAGGTGTCAGGTTTTTCAATTAAAATTAGAGCAAGATGTTTTCCTTAAATAATACTGTTCTAATATTTGTTGCATAGGCCCTCAGACTGTCTGGTAATCCATTAAAGAATTGTAGAAAAAAATGTGTGAAATGGGTAATTCAATTTGTAATTCTTTAAGCTTTTCAAGACTTTATCTCAGAAGGTATTATAACAATTGCTTATATACTTATGAGCAATGAAGTTGGAAATACCCTGATAAACTTGGTACATAACACACAATACATGTTTCTGTCCTGAGGAGGTAAGTTGTAATAGAAACTAAAAAAAACAATGCACTTTTCATAAATTATTTTATGCACATAAATGATTACCTGTTTGAAGGCTTCACCAGACTGGAATGGATCACAGAAAAGGCGGTCGATAGGGCCGCCAATGATGAAAGGGAATGACGTTAGAAGCATGAAGAAAGTGCCAAATATAAACACAATTGCTGCTCCCCTGTAAAAGGATTTATAAAAATTTAAGGCCTGTCGACATCAAATTTTCTTTGACTAAAAACTTTTGAATGCCCATATATAGTCATGATGTGCCTATATATGGTCATGATGTGATGTCATCATGACCATATTTAGGCATGTCACATGTTTTTGTCAAATAAAATTTGGTAGTCTGGACAGGACTTTATGGAGAAACTACTCAAAAAGCCAAAGGTGACAACTCTTTTATAGTTTGTTTCGCAAACTGACCACCCACTGGTTAAAGACAATTTTTTAAATAAAAATTAAATAATATTTTCACCCTTTGCACTGCACTCTCTACATCCATATTTCGAGCAAGGACCTAAGGATGACCTCTATAGTTTTACTTCCAACACTCACACTTTTCTATTCATCAATAACTTTTATTAAAGTTTTTCTTCTATCTACTTTTGTAGATGTTTTTGGCCGAACTAGCAAATTTTGTTTTTATTCTTTTTTACCCTCCTAATTACAATCTTTAAAAAAATACAGTTTGTAAAACTGGTATAAAAAGTCTTGGTAATTGTGAGTTTATCACAAACTACTAATTAACGATGTCAAACAACATCTATTAATTTTACAATTTAGACTTACGTCATCAATAAACATCCGCCGCAGTTGGACAAACACCCACGTTCAGTTGGTAGTGCATCTTTGGAACCACACATAAAGCCCAATACAATACCAACTAACCAGATCACAGGTACTAGAAGTATAATGCCAAAGAGTCCAGCCATGGCATACACACGGTACTTGTCGTAATCATTAGCTGTCTCACCAATGTCATCGACATCTTTTGACCAATCTTCTGCATAATCTGTAAGCTGAATAATGTTGAAGAAGGAATAGAATGCTGATTATGCATGACATACATTGTGCAAGTACTGTTTGTGAAAGCAGTTGGAGCAGACACTGCAATATCTGGGGGGAGGGGGGATGGTTTGCTACACATATTTTTCAGGCACTTTACCTACAGTTGTTTTCTCCATTCAGCACATCACCAGTTTAGTGAGAATAATTATAGCTGAGCATTTGCAGAAATGGTAATGTTTCTATCTCAACAATAATAGCAACAATAACAATATGATGATTATGATGATGATGATGATGGTGATGATGATGTTGATGATGATGATGCAATATAAAATATACCTACTTTATCTAGTTCAGAGGTCAATTCATCAACAGCTGACGAAATATCATCTTGGAAGCCGTCAATATTGTCAGAAATTGCTGTTGATAAAATTAACAAACACATGATAAATTATACTATAATAATATACATTACAATACTGCTTCAGCATAAGCCCATCTTTGACTACAGGTCTGCCATTTTGGTATATGCCAGGTTTTATAACCTCAAGGAAGAGGTGCATAATAAATGCATATACCAATTGCATGCTGAAGGCTTAGGCCATATTTTTTGGGAATAAGCCTGGCCTGGCTTACTTTTGGCTACAATTCTCTTGACAAACCAAATGGCTTTAATAGGAATAAGTCCATCTTTGGTATCGTAAGCCTACCTTTGGTTATAAGCCTTCACACAAGGATAAGCCCATATTCGTATACAAGTTTGGCTTGAACATAAGCCCAGGGGCGGATTGTTCATAAAACGGTCTTAACTGGCAGTCTGAACTCCTCAAATGAAGCCGGCATTATGACTTACTAAAAGCCACTCTGCTAAGACCATTGTTATAAAACGGTAATTGATTTGACCGCTTTCAGTATTGAAACACAAACCAGCACTTCCTGGTAACATAAAATTTAGGGCACTGTTACACTTGCTCAAAACATTCATATTTATCGAAATGAACGTAAACCGGTTTTTACAGACGCTGAGAAGTTTGCAGAATATTTTCATCTTTTGATTCTTAGTCTTTGATGATCTAGGCCTAGGTCTAGTGCCTGTAACGCCATGATGAAAATGATTTAAGACCGTTTTAAGCCTCCTCGGTGTAGGCTGTAAAGTTTAAGATGGCTAACTGGTTAGACCTTGGTATAGCAATGGTCTATAGTCATAGACCATTGCACTGTAAAGCTTGGCTTCAGGCAAGCCACAAAGACCTAAGCCCATCACCGAGTACAAAAAGCTTGGTGTGGCCATACTATCATTGGGAATACTGTAGTGATCACATTTGGCACTTTTTTGGCACAGAATAGCCAAGCCAACACAAACACCAATTCAGAGATATCTTCCATTCCTTGGAAAGTGTTCCAAAGAGTCAAATTCTGAGGGAACACCAACCCTTCAGAAGGAACCAACAATAAACCTCTGTCCAGATTATCAAATTTTCTTTGACAAAAAAACTGTTACATGTCCATATATAGTCATGGTGTGCCTATATATAGTCATGATGTGCCTATATATGGTCATGATGTGATGTCATCATGATCATAATTAGGCATGTCACATGATTTTGTCAAATGAAATTTGATAGTCTGGAAAGGTCTTTTTTTATTGAAAATTACTATCATTGACTTACAATCAATATCGGACTGAGTAGTATTTGTCAGAGTCTCTGGAATATCCTCAAATGTCTGTTCACCCTTTGAATAAATAAAAATAACAAGAATCATTAGTAACCAGGCTACAGGTATTAATTACTATCCTAACTACCATTATCATAGTTACCAACCGTCTGGCATCGTGCGGAACGGTCCCGCATTTGAAAGGGATTTTCGATGAAACAAGCATTTTGCAGGAATATGCGTAATCCTAAATTTCTCATGCATTTACCGCAAGTCTATGCGTGATAACAAATTATCACGAATTCAGGGGAAAATGTATTTAAAATTAGAAGAAATTGGTTTTATTAAAAATATAAAGACAGTCATGCAGTAAATGAATTCACTGAGAAAATAATCCAGCCAACCACGCACTTAGTAGGATCTAGTAGACGCATGTGGTCTTTTCGCGTTCACTGTCACGACCAACCATTGGTTATGTGACTGAAACCCGGACTCCCACCGGGTTCCACCCTGGCAGTCCCTTCCCCCTGTAGTCACACATTTCAAATCTCTCAGGTTGGTAACTATGCATACTCCAAGTATTGAAATACATGCCATCGTGTTGGGATTAATAATTAATGTCAAAATATTGAATCCCAACACGATGGCGTGTATTTCAATACTTGGAGTATGTATTATACTTTTTTATCTGAGATTAATCAGTGGACCTTTCGGTAACTATGCATTATTGTTAAATATTGTTATCACTTCTGTTAAATGACAGTCTTCAACAGCAATTTAATCCACTTTTGACAACCTTTGGCAATTCAGATATTCTTAATGTTTACCTTCAGTTTTTGTATGTTGCTTGTAATTTGTTATTGAATTTGTTATTGAATAAATCAAATCAAATTGTCATTATTATTATTGCCATGGGAGAAGTCGTCATCACTATTATTATTTACATATGAAAAGTCATTTGTATAAACAACATTACAGTTTCTTCTGCTCACTGGGAAAATAAATACTAATACATGGTAAACATACTTTGGCTGCCGTAGATGCAAGATCTTCATCCACCAAATTTTTCATTTCTGATAGAGATTTATCAACTGCTACTTGTGGGAATACCCCCTGCAAAGAAAATGCATAAGGATTATTGATGTTTGTAAAAATGTAGTTATTCTTCATTAAATTTAAAACAATGACCTGGATTACCATTTGTTTATTTTACTATCTAACATTGATTTCACTATCTAACATTGAGGCCAAGTAGTATAAGTTACCAAAAAACCTCAAACAGAAGTCCAATGGGGTTAATCTTGAGAAGAAGCCCATCTCGAAAAGTATCTCCTGTTTTTGGTTGGTAAATGTGATCTTGAAAAGAAGCCCCCTTCAAAAAGAAGCCCATGGGCTTAAATTCAAGATAGTATGGGTTTATTTTCGAGATAGTATTTACATTCCGACTGACGTTATCTATTATGATTATGATAGCGTGTCAGTCAATAACAACAACAAACAAACAACCGCATTACATCTTCTCATAAACATTTTAAATTACCACACCAACACCAAGATAGTCAACATTTGACTCAAAGTCAACAACAACAAAAACAAATACAACAGCATTACACCTTTACATCCGATATCAATCTGATTCAGCTGTTTTGACCACTTAACAAAACAATATTAATACTACGCATGTGCACGGAAGGCAAAAATGAACAGATTGAGGGCGCTGCATGGCACAACATTTGGACGATTTCAGTATCCGAAAAGGGTATATAAAAATGCACTTCATTAACGATCAATTACTCATGGCACTATTAAAAATAAATTCCCAATCTATTTATAACACTGTACATTCATTTATTGAAGTTTAACAAGTCTTTGATACAGCAGGTATCATATTTTCAGCAGTTCACAAAATGGAACGCACCCGGATCCCTGGGCCGGCTGTGAGCTCGATCAGTTTTTCTCATTGAAAGCCTTGAAAGAATGCAAAAATAACAGAAGCTTTTAACTGATCGCAAAAAAATTGGCTTTCTGTTGCCGCTTCAACTTAAGTAATTGATTGCTAATGATTAAGAGATAGGATGATTTTCACGGCGGCAAGTTTGCAGTTAAGTGGACCAAATACATTGTAAAGTTTAAACTTTACTGAACCAACACCAAGATCTTGATAGTCAACATTTGACACAAAGTCAATAACAACGACAACAACAACAACAAACAAACAAATACAACAGCATTATATCTTCACATAATCATTTCCACTTACTGAATCAACACCAAGATCTTGATAGTCAACATTTGACACAAAATAGGTATTGTAGTCTGGGAAACCTGCACTGCCACAGCATGTGCAGCTGGTACAGTCTGTACTAAAATTAGCTCTAACTTGATCAATGGCAGTTTTAAAGGCAACATATAGGACGGCAAGCTCATTTTGAGTACTGTTCACAAGAGCCAACTGATTGTAAGTATCATCAATACCTGAAAAGATAAATAAGTATGTAAAACATATTTATCTAATTATTTTTTAAGAATCTTCTCTTTACCAGATTATTTTATCTATAATTATCCAAGTTTTTTTTAACTTAATACCAGCTATTCAGCTCAATATAATGCAATTTCGTATTTAATTGTCGATTCCAATGTCAAATTTTAGCGTTACCATTTTATTGTTTGTATTTTAAGTATTACATCTGTTGTAATAATCTTTGATGTGTAATATTGTATTTTTTGTTTTTGAACCTTTTAAAATGGAAAGCAAATGTTATTTACTTTGTACTTGACAATAAATCACACTATAATACCTCCATGTTCGAACTAGAACTTGAAATAATATTAATATTAAAAAGTTTGCTTTCTTGTGGTTACGCCATTTTGTATGGTGTTTTCTATATAATGCATACATTCATTGGCATATACTGTACACAGGTATACTACCTAAGTAGGAAGTGATTCAAATATTCAATGCAATCAGGACCAGGTAGACAATGTAACAGCAATTTAATTGCCGCTTACAGGATGGAAGTGATGCAAAACAGTCACATTTTGAGGCTTAGGGAGTGGAGATTAAAAGTCCCGGTGTCTCATTATATGTACAGTTCTACGAAATTTTGCAATATGTCTCAATGTGTCACTTTGTCTAACGTCCAGGACAATGATTTTTCCATCAGGACCTTTAGGTACACTGTCCCTCAAGACCATAGACGACTAATAGAATATACAATTATAGTTAAACCTAAGAAAAGTTACCCATATTTCTTCCTTCTGTCCAGTTTTTTTGATATTACAAAGCTGTATTATTATACTGTATCTGTACATTGAGCAACTCATATCTTGTACCATGGGCATCAATCGGTAGGGGACAGGGGGACACGTCCCCTCACTTTTCAAAGTTTGGGGGGGGGGGGGAACATCATATCAATTGTTTTCCCCCCCCCCACTTTTCACCAATCTTCTATAATTAAAACCCCACTTTTAAAAGTGAATGGAAAGAATAACAATTACGCATGACTCATGAATTTTGTCCTTTCACTTTTCCATGTGCGGTACATATTTTCCGGACCAAAACCAAGTGTAAAAACGCAATTTTTTATACATTTCGTAACCATCTTAGAAACAACTAGATCGATTTTATCGGTGCAGCAGTTATCAGAAGCTAAATTTATTGTGAAAACAATGTACTGAACATTGTTAAAATTGGAAGCGTGTATACTTATTAGGCCAATATTTTTACAAACTCAAAAGTACACAACTTCTACTATAAACGATTTATTCCTTTTGTATATTACTATGACCCGTACGTATATACTAGTGTTTAATATTTTCTACATACACAGGATTACTGTTTTTCCTAATTTCAAAAATTATAGTTAGTCAATTGAATTTTATATAGCCATTATTAAACAATAATTATACAGCCTATGACACGGACATGTTACATTGGCGCAATCTTGCAATGACATCATAATAATCAGTGGCGGATTCAAATGGGGCCGAGCCGACCCTAAATTTTTCAAAATTATTTTTAAAAAATTAGAAAAAAACAAAGGAAAATTATAATTAAGATTTAGGTCTGAGAGTGCCATTTCCGGCAATCTAGAGGTGTCATAATCATAAATTTTCTTTCCTCAGCCCCAACCATGGTGGGGCTGAGGTGATCTACTTTCCAAAATTGTGCAAGTCCCTCCCTGTCCCCCTCTATTTTGCTTTCCTGGTAATGATAAATTAAATCACCTTTATTGTGAAATCAAAATGCTAATTAATATTTTGTGTGCTCCCTATCTCCCTAGTCCTGTTTGATCGTAAATTAGACGGCATTTCCACTCACAATAATGTAGTCACAATATTACTTAGACAAAAGTGAAATCCAAAAAGAGGAGAAAAGCAAAAACCTCTTGATTGATTTTAAAAGTACTGTACATGCAAAAAGCCTATTAAAATGAATGACTGTTTTAAGCTTATTTGTTTTTCATGGTTCGAATTTTGAATACGTCA